ACATTATACAGTATGAGTTTGTATTTCAGAGTAGGGGCTTACAATTTTAAGTAAATCAGTCTTTAGAATTTCAGGACTTTTATCATTGCCAGAAATTGGCTTGTTCCCATTCAGTAGCTAAAAGGGAAACTGTGTTTTGGTGTGCATATTCAGTCTGTGCTTCTGTCAGGAGCAACTGCACTGTGAGTATACCTGGGTGAGCAAAGAAAAAGGATGTTCTCCGCCTCTGGCAAGTAAATCATCTGTCCTTTCAGTCTCAGACAGCTGATCTCCACCCCTGTCAGTTCATCCTCATTCTCTACAGTCTCCACATTCAGCAGGCCCTCCTGTGTGGATTACATCACACTTACGAATATTTCATTATATGTTCTCCTCTAAATCTGGCTCAAAACTGGGAGCCAGTTCAGCTCACTCTTTATTTTTAAATCTATATGTTTTTTCTTTCTGTCTAGTGTTACATGCATCCCCCTCTACTGGAGAGCATTATTCCAGCTTTCATGTGTAAAGATAATTTAGCAACTCCCTTTTCTTGTATCATAGCTTATGTAGCACCCAAGACAAGTCTCTTCACCCTAAGTACAATCTATCTATCTAAATGCATTTTCAAGCCACTGTAGCAATTATCTGAACTTAGAATTTACTGCCCCATGAGAACACAAAGGTACACAAGTTCAGCTATTTTCTATTCTAATTGCACTTTTCTCTTTTGGGCTTCCATCTGACTTCTCACTGAAATCTGTGCTTCTTAAGAGTCATGCAGTTTGATTCACAGTTCTACTCTACCCTGAGTTTTGCAGTACAACAATCAGACCCTTGCATTATTTGCCCCATGCATAAATTTGACATAAAACTCTAAATATGAATTTCTTTGATTCATTGTTTACATGCTTAGTAATATCTGCATATAACAAATTTCATCCTCATTATCAGTGTTTATGAAACCCACCTAGTCAAACTATTATGGAGCTGCTAACAATATCAGTGAGCTCATCAATATCAATACAATAAACACATTGTCTGTTTGCTTTTTGCCTGCAGAGAACGTATGCTATAGAGTGCCATCGTAGTGAGTTGTAAAACCCAGAACTGAGTTAGCATTGTTGCACTTACGCTTCCCTCACGGTGAAGTCAATGGGTTTTTGGTTAGGCGCTTGAAATAATGTCTGTGGTTAACACAAGGCCAATACATTTTCTTTTTCTGTTCTATGAAATAAACTGTCAGTAAATATCCTATGTGTGACTTTTAATGCTTTTAGGTGTCTTAAAAAAGGCAGTTGCTAACCGGTGGCCAAATGAAACTACAGAGGCTGTCTGGGTTATTAACCATCACCAGGCAGAACACAGAGACGCAACTCCTCACTAGCCCGCCTTTACAGCCTTGTTATATTTAAACATGTGCACTTGCAAACTCTTCTACCTGACACAGTCATGATCACTAGCTAGATTAGGTCACACTAAGAGGAAAGGATTTTGTAGAATAGGTATGCATGTTAAATCGCATTACAAGTTGGAAGCTGTGGTGTTGATGCTGATGTCATGGGACCGTGGTGTAGTTTGTTTATAGTCTAACAATAGCTTTTTATTTCTGGCAATCGTATTTGGGCTTCAAAAGGCATAGCAATAGTGTTCATTTGTGAAAGATTATCCCGCTGAACTGTTGTTTGTCACAGAGCTTATTTTTTGCAATAATCTAAAATCCTATGGAAAAGTCCCATTGGTTTTTTGTCGAGGAAACCAGGGTGGTGGTGACTTCAGGGTTGACCTACAAAAAGACATCGCACCTATGGCACTCTATTGTGATTGGCAAACAATGCTGTGACAAACTATATTACATTTCATATGTACCTTGCTTCGCAGAACGAAGACGGTGTTGATGTGGGAAAGGATGCCATGAAAACTGAAGTCAATGTGAGGACGGACCAAAGAAAAAACTGAAGGGAGGATACAGATACCAGGCTGTAGCTGGGGAATAAAATAAAAATATGCATATTTAAGTTCAGAAGATAAGATCAGAAATTAATTGTGTAATTAATTGCTTTAGCTTTCCGGGCAGCCAAAAGGTGCAGCCCTCTAATCAGCTTCAGACAAATCCTACAGAGTCCTACAAAAATAGTCAAATGCTGACTTGATGAACTTGTTTCCTGAATGTAAAACAGGGGCTAGCATAATTGGATGTGAGTGTACACCTGTGGCAGGACTCGATAAATCGCATTCCCACACTGTGTGAGCATCAGGTCCTTGTCAAACATGAGGTGGAATGGAAAGGCCTTGCAAAACGTGTACGGGCTGATCCTGGTCTCCTGCGTGCCGTTCTCCTCGAAGCCATCCAGATCCTCATAAAACGCCTCCTCCTCCGAGTCCTTCTCTTCAATCAGGAACTTAATGTGGTCGCACTCCTCGCTTTTCGGTTGGATCATCTGTATAAAATTAAATAAAATAATTTATTGAGTATTGATATTACTGTTACAAAACAAATGATTAGGTTAAAACTGATTTAAACCTGTCTACAGTGTGGCACATGGTTGCAGTATTAGGATGTTTTTAATTGAATGTTTCACCCTTGTGACAACAGTGTCACTATTGATCTCTGCAGAAAGAAGAGGGTATGAAATGTCATTATTCTGTGGGTTTATGGGCATAAGGCATGCTGACGTCAAGCTGCTGTCTCTTCACCCTGTTGCCACAGCAACAGTGGCTAATATTTCCAGAAATTGGGTGTAACATTTGGAGCGTCTGCCATTTTATGTTCCTTCGTTACACACACAATTGCTGAAAAATATTATCCTGTCTGTACAATATGATTAGGTTTGGGAGAAAATCGCTTATGAAAAAAGGAGAAAACTCTAGCCAGAGTACAGTGGATGTCCGAGGAGAATAACATACCACAATGATTGGTACACATTACAGACTGAGTTGTGTGGTGAACAGTAACATACAAATAAAAATACCACTTATAGTGTATGATATCTTTCTGTTGCAGTTCTTCATAACTGACAAAATCAGATTAGTGTGTTTGAGAGAACGAGCCCAGATAACAAATGGATCTCTCCTTAGGGAGAATTATCAAATAAACAGGCAGTCGACAATTTAAATTTAGTTAAGACAAAGTAAAGATAAAACAATGGAAGAAAAAACTCCCAACATTTCCAAGACAGAGAGACTATAACTTATATCTAAAAATATCCTCTGACTCACCAACATTAGCCAAAAACTCACTGCTGAACTGCATTTGTCACGGTGCAGCGCTCTTCCCGTTGTGGATATTTTGGAACTTTCTGTTATTTAATCATAACATTATAACCTCTTCGATTATATTCTGAGACATAAACACATGCATTCTGACACAGTCCATCACAAGGACTTCCTTGAGAGGAACTGGAATAAACCTAAAATCATCCCCAGGAACAAAAACAACAAAGCAGACCTTCATCTCTATCTCTGTTCCATGAATTTGTTGGGCGACGGTTTTAATGATGCCAATCACAATGTCTTGCAGGCCCTCTCTCTCTGAGTAATAGTGAAGAATCAGATTGTTTCCCTTCTCGGCATCGGTGCAGCGAAATGAAGGGGCCCTCATCCCAGGATAAATGGTACCCAGGTGGTCATGCAGTGCATCCAAATTCTGAAAATCGAGATTAAGGATGAAATATGCAACATTCAGCCACTGTACAAATCAGGCTTAGGTATAAGTTAGATTATGATGCGGTAAAAAAAATACATTGAACTTTGCGTTGGTCCTCCACTTGTACTTCCATAACAATGGGGGACTTGGGAGAGGCAAATAAAAAAAATCAATGCTCAAAATTAAGGCAGTCAGAATTTGATGTCTTGGGAAAAAACATACTTCTAATTTATAACACAGGGTTTGTGTGAAAAATATGTCTCAAGCTCAAGTTGAGATGACCCTGATGACATCATTATGACATCACCAACAGTTATTGTCTCAGACTTGACAGAGACTCCAGAGTATGGCAAGCCATCGAGCTCAGTGGTTGTGCATGTTAATGTGAGAGTGACAAGTACATACCAGAGCCACACAAGGCTTCGACTTTGACAATGAAAAGAGTGCAGGGGCATGGATTTAAATAAACATGAGCTTACAAACCGCTGTAGGCCACTCCTCATCACTGCTATATACTATGTTAGCCATTATTAGCGCTAGGTACCCAGATCCTAGCTTACACTATGGGTAACACTGGCACCAAGATATGACAAGCAAGAATAATATATGAAATAAAAAAAAGATAACTCTGGTCCTTTTTTGTCAAACTGTTCAATGAGTATGACAATGTGCTGATAAATCAGTAGACTACTGTTTTAAATGCTGTAATTTTACATACAACTTCAGTCATTATTACTATCCAGAGCAGAAAGCCTACCTGCAGGAATTCACGAACATTTGAACCCAACACTCGTAGGATGGTGTCATATCCCGACTCTTGGCAAAATTCAAAAAACATCTTCCCAAACAGCTGCAATATGTCTCCTGCATCAATCTCTGAAATACAGAAAAGAGCTTATTACTGTCCTAGCTTGTGATACAGGGTGCAGCTATGCGCAATTTCCAACATAAAGCATATCACATATAATGTTTCATTTACAATAATTTTAGGAAAACATGCTGTCACTTACTGAGAACTTTACTTGCAGCTGCAACAAGATCATATGTTTTGGCATCTTCATATATGATTCTAACAAGGAACTGACCCTCAATATCAAGCTGAGCCTCCCTTCTGAAAATAACATAAACAAGTGTTTATTATAAAGCCATGGCAGAATGTATAGCAAAAATAAATATTACAGGCAACTTGTTCAGGCAAACAGTGGCTCTGCCTTTTTAGAATGTTTCTATTGTTGCTTAATGTAAATCACAGAGGAAATTCTGTGTACAGGCACAATTCAGTAACAGCTGTTGGGTCTAATTTGTGGCCAGTCAGTATGAGCTGTCATGATATACATAAAAAAGGTTTCCATTTGAAGTGGTTTTGTGGTGCCATACCTACACTACAAAACAAGTACAGATCATGAGGTTTAGATCAACAGAAAGTTATTTGGTTAAAATGACTCCTACAAGCACAGAGAGCACTTTATTATTTATGCATGTGACGGTCCAACTTTTACTAAATTGTCATAAAACTTACTGAGATTCTGATTTACTACTGTTTAACTGCAAAAATACCAATGATTTACTGTCCTGATCAGCAACCACCATTTTATCATAATGTGTTACAGCTGGAAAAAGGTACCAAGCCTTGAAAGATTTTACAAAGAATAAAAATACGATAAATTGTGCATTAAATAACAAAGAGTTACAGTTGGAAAGACAACATATGATGCTGGACAGTTATTAGGCCTTTTTTGTGCTGGCTGGGGAATAACCCCTTTGGAAACATTTACACAACACAGCTGCTGCTGGCTTTTTTTTTTTTTTTTTTTTTTTGGGGGGGTCGGGCT